ACAACGCACAGTGTTTTCCAATACTGAAGAAACAATACACTAGAAATTCTCTATTTCAGCTTTTTACTAAAGCTAGTGTTTAAAGAAAAAAGAACCAGCTTTCCCTCTAGTTACTGGAAAGACATGGTAGAATGTATAAATTTGCTCTCGCATGGGAAAACATTAAGTATAAAAGTGGGAATAAAAGCTTTTCATATAAATGTACATAAACATATGAAAGGAAAAATACATGGGAGAGAGGAAAGGTGTAAAACCAATGATTTCTGGAAACAATAACATACAAGCAGTCAGGAACCAAAGCAAAGATCTACAGATTGATCAAGTTAAACAACTCAGAGGTTCATAAACACAGGACATTGTTTCTCTACACTCAACACTTTTAAGTAACTCTAGAGGAACAGCGATGCAAATAAGGACTGTTTTCTCTCCATCTCATTTGACATTTCCTTTCCATGTGGAATGTCCAGCATAACAAGTGAACTGCATTTGAAAAAGTTACTGAAATGTTTTACTGATGTATTAAAGCTTAATAAAGAAGAAATGTGAGGAGTCTTGTAAAGCTTGAATACTTCCGTGACATCTCATCAAGTTATCTGCCATCACTATCAGCACTCATCTCTAGACAGTTTCTTTTGTTCCTACATTGTTTGTAAACATCTCTTGTACTTTTAATGTCTGCTAATAAACTTTTTCTTTCTTTTGTTGGATAACTGCTAAAAATATCAGAAACTGAAGCGTCTTTAAAGGTTTTCTGTTTTGTTGTTGTTGTTTTTTTTAATGCAATTGTTTATTAAAGGGAGTAAGATGGGACACCTTTAAGAAACTACCAGCACAAAGTACTGGTTGAAAAGCAGAAGTGACTGTCAGAAAATCACAGACAAATGAAGCACCAGCACAGTGCTTCAAGACCACTCTCACCACTCACTGTTCGCACTGTCTCAGGAGCCATACTGGTGGTAGGAAAATGACTTGTAAAGTAATGAAAAAACGTAGGACTTTTATTTTTGTTACAGATACAAGCATATTCTTAAATATTTTTGCTTTCTTTGGATAATATTTCTATGCAGGAAGACAGAGTTGAAGAAGCAGGCATACCACTTTTGCTGCAGAAGCAGGATCCTTTGGTCATGGATGCAGAGATCTCAGAGGCAGCTCTGGGGCACTACTGACAAGCATCCATTCAGATCCTGCCAGCACCAGGATCCCAACACATGGGAAAAACTATTACAGAAGATCTCTGCTTGAGAGATGTATGCTGGAGGTCTTTCATTTAGCACTTAACTGAAATGTATAAAAAAATATCGTCCCCGCAAAAGAACCACTGTTCTGAGGAAACTATTTTAAACTTCATTATAATGGATGAAGATGAAATTTTAATCACAGGCCTGGAAAACTGGCTTTTGCCTAAAGAATAGTAATAATTACCAGATTTCATTCAATATGAGCAAACAGAAGACTGTAATTTAAAATGGCTAAATTGCCATTAGCTTTTTACTTTCAGTATCACTCAGTTAAGACAAAAAAGGCAACGAGAAGTTGAATCATTGAAAATACTTAGTAGGTGGCCTAAACTCTAGATTTCCTTCGTTAAAAACAGTCAGTTGTAGCTGTGAGTCTAGGAAAGTTCAGTTGAGAAAAAGAGATTTAAGAATACAGAAATGGTATCGAACAGAAAGGTGACAAAACCAGACAGATATCAGCACAAAAATAACAAGTCTTGAAATCTCTCAAAGTCGCTTCAGGAAAGCAAGAAGTTCTGGAAGAATTCCCAGGTGAAAGGACTAAAAGAGGATACAGAACAACAGAGTAAGCCCTTAAAAGGAAGAAAAGAAAGTTAATGGTGCAGAGAAGACTATTGTTTTGCAAAAAGAGTAAGACAATACAAGAGCATACTTCAGAAGTTAGTGGAGGTCATCTGGGACTTGAGGTGAGCTTGTTTTCGGTCCAGAAGTAACTGATTTAATGAACATATGCTAACAAGTGTTAATCAGCCTTTTAATTTGCATTCAATGCATTTAAAAGAGCTGGCTCTGAACATGTTTTATTTGCCAATGTTCTTTTTTGCAAACTACAATGGAAATTCCAGAAGATCAACATCGTGCTGAAAATAGGCAACTATCTTGGAATAGCAAGCTGCACGTTCCAGGTACATATAAGCTCATTAACCTCCCTTGAACCCGAAGCCAAACAACTGGAAAGCTGATGAGATTCAATTAAAAATTATTAAAGGTCTGAAATTCAATTAACGACAGTCAACAGTTTTAGGAAATCAGTTTTCATCAAAAAAGCACGAGTTCATCTTCTGATGAGATTAAAAATTTTCTTGATAGAGGCAACAGCAAATAGGTAATGAAGCTTCCACAGCATACTTGTTTTTTCTACACCACATACCATCGTACTAACTGGTACCATAAGCTTTCATTAGAACACACATTACATGGATGAAGAACTACTCAGCTGCTGCACCTTCAACAGTGAACTATGGCGACCGTTAATTAAATAGTTACGGTATCGATTACATAAGAGACAGGGAGAAGCAGATCTCCATTGGATCAACAGCTTGCTGGACTGCTGCAGTAGGTGGATCCAGGCACAACTCTGTGGTCACTCTCTTTAAAGCCCATTACCCTTGCCACAGAAAGCAGCTAAGGACCTGCAATTTCTCTTTGGCGATTCCATAAGATTTACGATTAATACATAACATTGATTATTAAGTCTTTTTCTTTCACACCCCTCCTCCCCCAACCACTACTACTATGGTGATAGCTTCCAATTTGAGGTTTAAGGGCTAACACTCATGACCACCAATTCCCATCTGTGGTGGGTTACGAGCTTTTAATTTAGACCTTAGAAGAATTTTCTTATTTCTATAAAGAGAACACGAGTATCAAATAAATAAATACGATCACATTCTTGCTGCTTACTCAGCACAAAGCATCCTCCAAGTTAGGACCCACCCTCTCCTTGTTCTGAATGGGAAACTACTATAAGACATGCAAAGCTTAAAGACAAAATTATACTGAGGAACTCTAACCGAGGACAGGTAAATAGAAAGTTGTACACAGGTCTGGTACACAGGACAAGCTTAAGCATCACCACACTGAACAGTTCATATTACTTAAACCATGAAAAAAAAAATACTCAAGCATCTGCATTTTTGCATGTGAGAGGTTGCCAGATCTAACTTCAGCTGATCTTTGGGTTATCTATGGCTTTGGCAGATTCTTATCACCACAGGAAGGAGGAGCATAAATGAGCACAAGAGATGCTTGAACACTTAGCAGATACATGTGGTCACTCCAAAAGAGAAACCTGGGTTTTGTCATGTGCTATTTACTGACTCAACAGAAGTATCCACAGATAAAATTAGAAGATATACAGAAAACTGACACATTGCAGCTATTGTCCTTTAGAACTGTGAAGTGTGTCGAGGTCCGAAAGACACAACAAGAGGGAAGGTTCATACACAAAACCACCAAGCCTTCCTCATGTTTTTTTTGGTCACCACCGTAGTGCAGTGAAAAACCTCACAGCACACAGCTTTTGTGAGGGTCACGGAGGTAACCTTGACCATATGTGAGGACACCAGTTTCTTCCCTGTATTTCTGTTGGATGTAAAAAGTTAGCTTATTTAGATAAGTGCTTTCCACATTTTACACAAACACTTGATGCATTATCACAACAGAAATGCAATTTTTTCATGAAATAATTTTAGACTATATATGTATATATATATAAACAAAGTCTATGTAAAGGAGCTTAAAATTATAATTTGGATTTTGATCTTAACTAGTTCATTTATCTTGGAAAATATTCTTCATACAGATCTTTGAAGAAGCATACTAACATTTTCTGGCATTTCAATCCAAGAAAAACTGCAGTTTTAAACATTATCCCTTTACATTTGGTTATAACCTTGTTTGACTGCCTGTCATTCTGCTAACCTCAAATTCCACATTCTTTATTGCTGCTCAGCAGTGAATAACTGAGTAATGAGAAAGGGACAAAGAGCTCTGTTAGACACAACGCTTGCACAGAACACCTGAAATACAACTACATGAGCAATGATAATGACACTTCTAAGAGAATTTCTTTGTTTTCTAACAAGTTTAATCTCAAACTCTGATTTTTCTGTTGAGTTGGTATTTTCTACAGAAAACTGAAGCAGAATGAGTTTCCCCTACATAAGAGGTTGCAAATCATAGGTAAAAACCCAAACAACAAGTAAAAACACTCCCAAAACACCTCCACACATATTGTTCTGTTCACTACATTCAAAAGCACCAACTAGCAATTTTTTGAGCTCCTATAAGCAATCTGACCATTTATCACTATGTTTAACTTAACCAACCATATGCAAAACCCTTTATTTTTCAATAAATTAAGTCACTAAAATCATTGCAAAAATAACAAAAAACCCTCATTTAATCTGACTTCCAAATACATTTCTTCCAAATGCAAAGTTTTTCAAAGTTACGTTACTTGATGATACACTTGTGAAAAAAAAAATGCAAACATAAAACACAGAGCACATACTAAGCTTGTAAGCAGAAGAATCATCACATAAGACAACAGAAGCATAACCTCTTAACACTGCACACAGCCACACCACATAACCCTATTTATGATGTGACTGAACTTTGCTATCATAGCAATGCTGAACAACCCGTTTACACCCTTGTATTTCTGAGAGGATCTGGCATGAGAGGAGAGGACTCAGCAGTTCCTAACTCAGTGAAAACACTGATCTTCAAAATTATTCACTGAAAATACATAACCTCTGGAACAAAAGTAAAACTTTACTTTCCTTTATATGATGTGAGAAAAATAGGTTACACACCATCCTCCCCTACCCCCATTCTCTCCCTCCTCCCCTCTCTGTCATTATCTAACACATCACTGAAAGAAAATCAAAAAAAAAGCACACAGAAGTATTTACACATGTTCCCAATCTGAAGCACATCAAGCGTATTAGACTTCAGGAACAGAAAAGGACTTACCCAACGTGTCTTTCAGATTTTTAACCAGAGAACCTTTCTTCAAGCTGTTTTTTCGCTCCACATAATTTGATGGCACATATCCCGTTTTGTTGGCCGCGTTTCTTACCCTCCACCATGTCTTGGAATCATCTAATAGCCAAAGACGCTCATTTTTCTTGATGTCAAGTTCTTGGTCCTGCTGTGCAGTGTAATCCCACTTTGCAATAACAATAACTTCTTCTGTCATCTTTCATGGAGTCCTTCTGTAACAAAATATTAAAACACATTCACCAATCAATTATTTTCTGTAAGTCTTGCTCAAATTTTTCAAGCAGTTCTGAAATATGCAAGAAAGGGGAAGTGAAAATGAGGAAGTGCTATAGAGAAAATAAATCTCAGGACGGTAATCCCTTCTTTAGAAATAAGGAAAGTCAGTGACCTTTGTTGCTTTTTCAGCAACTGAAGTATGAAAACATCTTGATAATAAAGTATAGTCATAAAGTTGCCTCTGTATGTATATGAAATATTATTCAGATATACATTAATGCAGTAGAAGTTATAAAACCCATTTAGTTTTTTACATTTAGCATTATAAAACTATGCTGAAGTTAGCACTCAAAGTTCTGATTTGAGAAAAAAAAAATAGCAGTGTTTCCTTCCATCCTGGTTATGATACTTAGTACATAAATTCTATACTCACACTCGTATAGACAGATTACTTGCAAGTTTTCTGCATTTGAAGAGTTATCCATCTATACTAAGAAGTTAGAAATGCTTCAGTAAGTAACATAATTCAGTGAGGAAATCTCTGCCATCAAGAGGGTACTGCTCCCATAAGCCTTGGTGCAGAATATACCATAAGGGAGCACATAAACATAGTTTATGAAGAAGCATTTGCTTTGTCTTTGCTGCCAGGGCAAGACCAGCTTACTCCAGTCCTCACTGGGTGGAAAATAACAGCCACTGCATTCTGGATTTTCCTCAGTTTCTTCCCTTCACTGTACTTCTCCAGAGTGAAGATCTAGCAATCCTTTTTACTTATCCTTGTAGCACAAACTGTCTTCTCAGAAGCTATCTGCCAGTTGCACAAAGACAACCGCATGCCTCCACATTTTTCTACACATCAGGTAATTACCAGAAACAACGTAGCTCCGTGACAGCCAGCAAATACAACAGCGAGTAATGTCAGTACCACCGACGTTCTAATATATTATAATGCTAAACAAAACAGAGTTAATTTTATCCTCTACATTAGAATCATAGAATCACACGGGGGGGGGGGAAAACTTGAAGATTATCAAGTTCAACAATCAACCTGACCGACTGAGTCCCACGTCCTGTCAAATACTTCCAGGAATGGCATCCCTGGAAGTGCAACTGAATCGGTGGAAGTCCTGGAGCACCTCTGCTGTGGGAGCTGGGTCTGTTCAGCCTGAAGAAGAGGAGGCCCAAGCCCATCAATATCTATAAAAACCTGAAGGGATGGCATAGCTAGGCTCACATTTCAGTGGTGCTCAGTGCCAGGACTGTGCCATAGGCACAACCTGGCACAAAAGGAAGGTTCCTCCTGAACACCAGGAGCACTTCTGCACAGTGTGGGTGATGGAGCACTGTACAAGATCCCAGAGCTGTGGCATCACCTTCCTGGGGATCTCAAGAAGCCACCTGGCCACAGCCTTGGGGCCAGAGGGATCCAAAGTGCCGTAACAGAGATTTTAAACACCATTACCTCACTCAGAAATTGCTCTGTTCAGCACACAAGCTATCCATACCACTTCATTCAGAAAGGGTTCCACCTGCAATCTGTAAGCGTGCATGCTTTCTCCATTTCCAAAGAGAAAATGCAGAGGAACATAAAGTAGTTGAAAACTCAATTTGAATATAGGCGTACAAGGCTGACAGCCCCAAGATGAATTCAGAAAGTTGTGATGTTCTGAACAACAAAGAAGAATAAGAATTCTGACAGTTCAAAACGCCTGCGATATATGCAGGTAGAATTGGTATTACAAGAAAAGTCATTATACCTTTAAAAAAATTCCTCCCCATAAAACAGCAATCCTGTCTGACACTGACAAAGACGTAGGAGAGCCCGAGCTTCAGAACGCAATCTCCAATAAACCACCCTGCTTTCCAACTCACATGAAATGGGCAGATAGCCTACAAATCGATATGCTGATGTAGCCAGGGGGAGACTGCAAACAAGCATGTTCTGGATGCCAGTGTTGTCAATATAATCTCTCTTCAATTTAGATCGGTTCATTTTATGCCAGCAATTGTAAAATGGTCAATTCACGCTATTCCTGGGGATATGGAGAGCATGAAGAAATAGGACACTATCAGTTAGTTGGCTGATGGTGTCAGTACGTGCAGTTTCCAATTCTAAAAAGGTTTTACAACACAAACAGGTTAAAATTATCTACCTGTATTACAAGCTGTTAATTGAAAATCACAGAATCACAAGGTTGAAAAGGAGCTACATGATCATCTAGTCCAACCATCCTCCTCCACCATTACTACTCACTAAGCTGCTAGTAAATAACACAACTAGGCATAATATTTGACTAATGACTGATAGAGAACTAATAAGATCTTCTCATTCCTCTAAATCTAAGGAAAGAAAAAAAAAAGCAGTCCCTCGTGGTAAAAGTCATCAAGCTTTTGTCCAAAGTGCTGTACAGGGACAGAGGCATGGGAAGAATAACATACAAACGTATGTCAGGGCTGATGACACCAACTGTGTGGTCCTTGGAAATTCCCTCAGGACAGGGAGCCTGAGCTACCTGATTTCCACAATTCCAGCCTGTTGTTACATAATATTGCCACTCTGAATGAGAAATGGTCTCATGACCCCAGCAGACCCTTGTGTTACAGTTTTTGCAGAAATAAAGGGCATCCAAGGTTCTCAGATGGCACGCTCATACAGAGCCCAGTGCACTGCTACACTACAGAGTTTTTGCTTAATGTCAATGGCACAAGCATTCCTATCCAACAGAAGACTTCTTTTTTTTTTTAAATAAAGAGTTAAAATGTACCATACATCTGCAGTTAAACTGTTAATCTGTCTACATAAAGCCGTACAGAAGTGTACAAAGATTTTCTTTTTCTTTTTTTTTTTTTTCTTTTTTTTTTTTTTTTTTTTTTTTTTTTTTTTTTTGATGTGAGGGATCAGGGTTGGACTTCTTAAGATTATTTCCTTATAGTTAATTCATTCAAGTGGCTCCATGAAGGACAATACAGTTCTTCCTGTGACATTTGCAGAGCTAACATTTCCTTGTATGTGAATAAGGACACATTTGTTCTCCAGGAGGGAAGCAGTAGAATTAAGTTTTGAAATGTTTCTGCCACATAGCAGAAAACAAAGGATTAGAAGCAATGACATAAATAGATCTGCAGAAAACATAAGGAATCAAAACCATTACAATTTTCCGAAGCATTCAAGCATCCCATATAAATTCAACATGCATTCAGATTGTGAAAATTCCTAAGCATATTGCTTTTAGACTGCACAATCAAAAATACTGCAGTTCCTGCAGACTCTCTGTTAACATGACTTTTCCATATCAAGAAAACCCATTTCTGCTAAAAGAGCACAAGCCTGTGACATGTTCCTGCTCATAAAGTTCAAAAGTCCTAACACTGAAAGACCAAACCTTCTCCTCACATCAGATATGAGAGCATCTCACAGCTTGAAAAGCACCAAGGAAAAGCTTTGAAAGAATTCTGCAAGCTTTGGGGCGTATCCATACTTTCAGCCTCTCTTCTGCAAGCATTTCCTTCACTGCTAGCAGTGTCAGTAAGCTGATTTGTTTGACCGGTACTATATATGCAAAAATGTTGTAACTAATCAGTTACAAACCACAAAAGTCATATGCTTTTACTGTGTGAATATTAACAGACCATAAAAGTTAAAGCCAAGCTTGTTTACCAGTCAAAGTCTTTTAGAGATTGTATCAGACCATATCTAATAATAAAAATGAGTGGTAAATGGCAATGCTTCCAACTGAATGGAAACATACATACTGTTCAGGCTTACACTCTGAAACTCAAGTGCCACCAGGCAAGCTTTAGTTGCCAAAGCGTCCAAAAATAAAAGTTATTCTCCAAAACACAGGCTGTTTAAGCTTGATTTCTCCTGAAAATATGTGATTCTATGAAACACTACAAAGGTTGGAAAAGACCTATGAGATCATCTAGTCCAACTGCCTACTGCCGTCAGTGTTTCCCCACTAAACAACATCTCTTAGTACAACATCTGAATGTTTCTCAAACATCTCTGGGGTCAGTAACTCAACCACCTCTGTAAGCAGCCTGTACCAGTGCCTGACCATTCTTTCAGAGAAGAAATGTTTCCTAATGTCCAACCCGGTATTTTCTTCTGGAGATCATAGCTAGTAGTTAAGTAAGGAGAAAGTGAAAACAGAACTGAAAGCATTGCTCTGCAGGAGAAATTCAGTGTTAAGTACTGCCTAGAACGGTAAGTGGTTTTGTTATGGTGACCTCAAGCAACTCCACTGTGATGGCAGTCTCATTAGTGTTATCAGTACTACTATGGAAGTTCCAGGGCATCTCTCTACTGCCTTCTGTATCTAAGGTTCATGGAGGCAGCAGTTAACTTGAAAGTAGTATCTGCACTGTGTTTCACCAGAACACCCACTACCAGATAAAACCAAAATAACTCAAAAGTGAAACACTAGCAGCACAATGTCTTGTGATTCTAAAAGTGCTGCAGATCTTTAAATGAAGACAAGACTTGAAGTGTAAACGTCACAGAAAATGTCTTTAGGTGGAAATTTATTTTGAAAGAGTTATTTAGCTAGAAGTAAAAGAGCAGCTTTTGGCTACATCAAAATACACGCCTTGGAGAGGAAAAACAAGAAAGGAGATGGAAAAAAATGACTTACTGAGAGTGAATTTCTCATTCATGCATAAAACAACAGTTACCAAAACTTTTACTCTGTTCCAAAATACTGGTTTTTTAAATCATTTTCCAGAAAAACCGCACCAAGGAACACCTGTGTGCAAGGACTGGATTGAGCTCAGATGTTTCAGCCACTTTGCTCCTCCACCCAGCTGATGGTTCTCTGTTAGAAGACAAGTCCTATCTTTAGCAAGAGCTGCACTACTCCAGAAGCCCACGTGCAAATGTTCTCACACAAATACACCCTTTGGGGAGAGAAAATGGAAATTGTGCCAAGCTAGGAAGGAAGCGAAGGGAAGTCAGTTACAGACTGCACTGAAAGGCTGCTCAAACAGGTGAGGGACA